AGAGGGCAGAGAATATTCTCAAAGGCGAGAAGGACCAGCAGGAGGTTGCTGTACGCATTGGAACTAACGACATAGGAAGAGAAAATGATGGGATTCTGAGGAAAGATTACAGGAAGTTAGGCAGGAATTTAAAAAGGAGGTCCCCAAGGGTAGTAACATCTGGATTACTCCCAGTGCCACAAGCTAGTGATGGTAGGAATAGGAGGAGAGAGCAGATGAATGTGTGGCTGAGGAGCTGGTGCAGGGGAGAATGTTCACATTTTTGGGCCATTGGGATCTCTTATCATAGAATCCCTACAGTGTGGAAACAGCCCCTTCGGTCCAACAAGTCCACACCGACCCTTGGAGCATCCCACCCAGACCCATCCCCCTATAACCCACACACCCCTGAACACTACGGGCAATTTAGCATGGCCAATCTACCTTTCCTGCACATCTTTGGACTGTGGGAGGAAAGTGGAGTACTGGGAGGAAACCCACGCAGACGCAGGGAGAATGTGCAAACTCCGCATAGGCGGTTGCCCGAGGCTAGAATTGAACCTGGGTCCCTGGTGCTGTGAGGCTGCAGTGCTAACCACTGTGCCACCGTGCCACCCCACTTCTGGGGTAGAAGTGACCTGTATAAGTTTGGATTGCACTTGAATTGGAAGGGGACTAACATACTGGTGGAGAGATTTGCTAGAGCTGCTAGTAAGGACGGTGGGGATGGTGGTGGGGGCAAGTGAGTGGGACCAAGGGAGACAGTGAGGAAAGAGATCAGTCTGAGACTGATATAGTTGGGAAAAGAAGTAAGTCAAACTGAGGGCACAGTGGCACTGTGGTTTTTACAACGCCAGGAACTCAGGTTCGATTCCACTCTTGGTTGACTGTCTGTGTGGAGTTTGCATATTCTCCCTGTGTCTGCGTGGGTTTCCACCAGGCTCTCCGGTTTCCTCCCACAGTCCAAAGATGTGCAGGTTAGGTGGATTGGCCATGTTAAATTGCCCATTCAGGGATGTGTTGGTTAGGTGGGTTGTAAGGGGATGGGTCTGGGTGGGACGCTCTGAGAGTCAGTGTGGACTAGTTGGGCCAAAGGGCCTGTTTCCACACTGTAGGGATTCTATGATGGGGCAGGCAGGAACAAAGCAGAGAACAAGGTAGGACTGATAAATTAAACTGCATTTATTTCAATGCAAGAGACCTAACCGGTAAGGCAGATGAACTCAGGGCATAGCTGGGAACATGGGACTGGGATATCATAGCAATTACAGAGACATGGCTCAGGTATGGATGGGGCTGGCAGCTTAATGTTCCAGGGTGCAGATGCTATAGGAAGGATAGAAAGGGGAGCAAGAGAGGAGGGGAAATGGCATTTTTGATTAGGGATAACATTTACAACTGTATTTAGGAGGATATTCCTGGGAATACGCCCAGGGAAGTTATTTGGGTGAAACTGAGAAATAAAAAAGGGATGATCACTTTATCGGGATTGTATTGTAGACAGCCCACCCCCGCAATAGTCAGCCGGAAATTGAGAAACAAATTTGAAAGGAGGTCTCAGTTATCTGTGAGGATAATAGGGTGGTTATGGTAGGGGATTTTAATATTCCAAACATAGACTGGGACTTCCATTGTGTTGATGTTAAGCGTGTACAGGAAAATTTTCTGATTCACTATGTGAATGTACCTACTAGAGAAGGTGCAAAACTTCACCTACTCTTGGGAAATATGGCAGGGGGCAGGTGACTGAGGTGTCAATGGGGGAACACTTTGGGCCAGTGACTATAATTCTATTAGTTTTAAACTCATGATGGAAAAGGATAGACCAGATATATAAAGTTCTAAATTGGAGGAACGCCAGCAAAAGTTGATTGAGGGTGGATAAAGGGTTTGCAGGTAAAGGGACAGCTGGAAAATGGGAAGCCTTCAAAAATGAGATAATGAAAGTCCAAGGACAGTATGTTCCTGCTAGGGTGAAGGGCCAGGCTGGTAGGTGTAGGGAATGCTGGATGACTAGAGAAATTGAGGTTTTGGTTAAGAATTCTTGACCAAAATATGAAGGAAGCATATGTCAGGTGTAGACAGCAGGGACTGAGTGAATCCCTAGAAGAGTATAAAGTCAGTGGGGCTATACTTAAGAAGGAAATCAGGAGAGCAAAAAAGGGACATGAGATAGCTTTGGCAAATAGGGTTAAGGAGAATCCAAAGGGATTCTACAAATACATTAAGGACAAAAGAGTAACTAGGGAGAGAATAGGGGACTTTAAAAATCAGCAGGGCCACCTATGTGTGGAGTTGGGGGAGATGTTAAATAACTATTTTGTATCAGTTTTTACAGTGGAGAAGGATATGGAAGACAGAGAATGTAGGGAAATAAATAGTGACATCTTTAAAAATGCTCATATTACAGAAGAGGAAGGGCTAAATGTCTTGAAAAGTGTAAAGGTGCGTAAGTCTCCAGGACCTGATCAGGTATACCCTAGAGCTCTGTGGAAAGTGGGGGAAGAGATTGTTGGGCAGCTTGCTGAGATATCTGTGTCATTGATAGCACAGGTGAGGTGCTGGAAGATTGGGGGTTGGCCTTTATTTCAGAAAAGTGGTAAAGAAAAGCCAGGGAACTATAGACCGGTGAGCCTGACATCTGTGGTGGGAAAGTTGTTGGAGGGATCCTGAGGGACAGGATTTACATGTATTTGGAAAGGCAAGGACTGATTAGCAATAGTCAACATGGCTTTGTATGTGGGAAATCATGTCTCACCAACTTGGTTGAGATTTTTGAAGAAGTAACGAAGAGGATTGATGAGGGCGGAGCAGTAGATATGATCTATATGGACTTCAATAAGGCGTTCGACAAGCTTCCTCATGGTAGACTGGTTAGCAAGGTTAGATCACATAAAATAGATGGAGAACTAGCCATTTGGATACAGAACTGGCTCAAAGGTAGAAGACAGAAGGTGGCGGTGGAGGGTTGGTTTTCAAACTGGAGGCCTGTGACCACTGGTGTGTCAAAAGGATCAGTGCTGGGTCCACTGCTTGTCATCATTTATATAAATGATTTAGATGTGAACATAGGAGGTATAATTAGTAAGTTTTCAGATGACAATAAAATTGGAGGTGTCGTGAACAGCAAAGAAGGTTACCTCAGAGTTCAACGGGATCTTGATCAGATGGGCCAATAGGCCGAGGAGTGGCAGATGGAGTTTAATTTAGATAAATGTGAGGTGCTGCATTTTGGAAAGGCAAATCAGGACAGGACCTATACATTTAATGGTAAGGTCCTGGGGAGTGTTGCTGAACAAAGAGACCTTGGAGTACAGGTTCATAGTTCCTTGGAACAGGATAGTGAAGAAGGCATATGGTATGCTTGCCTTTATTGGTCAGTGCATTGAGTATAGGAGTTGGGAAGTCATGTTGTGGCTGCACAGGACATTGGTTAGGCCGCTTTTGCGTGCAATTATGTCTCCCTTCTATAGGAAGGATGTTGTGAAACTAAAAAGGAATCAGAAAAGACTTATGAGGATGTTGCCAGGGTTGGAGGTTTTGAGCTATAGGGAGACGCTAGATAGGCTGGGGCTATTTTCCCTTGATGGTTGGAGGCTGCGGGGTGACCTTACAGAAGTTTATAAAATCATGAAGGGCATGGATAGGGTAAATAGGCAAGGTCTTTTCCCTGGGGTAGGGGTGTCCAAAACTAGAGGGCATAGGTTTAAGGTGAGAGGGCAAAGATATAAAAGGGACCTAAGGGGCAATGCTTTCCCACAGAGGGTGGTGCATGTGTATGGAATGAGCTGCCAGAGGAAATGATGGAAGCTGGTACGATTACAATATTCAAAAGGCATCTTGATGGGTACATGAATAGGAAGAGTTTAGAGGGTTATGGGCTAAATGCTGGCAAATGGGACTGGATTCATATAGAATTGGCATTGGCATGGACGAGTTGGAACAAAGGGTCTGTTTCCGTGCTGTACATCTCAATGAGTTTATGACTCTAACCGTTTTCACATTCCTCTTGATTACAATCGATGATGACACACCTGTCTCAGAAGTGATGGACAGTTATTACTTCACTGGCAGATCATTTGGGCCCATGTCTTACCCTTTCCTGTATATTTTAGAATTCTCTGTGTCAATGCCCCATATGTCATATAAAGTGAGACAGAGAAAGAGACAGTCAAAGAGTTTTTGTTGCAGCCAGCTACAGGAGATTTCTGTCAGGATGTCACACACAGGGACTGTGTTAAGCTGCAGCTAGAGCAATCAGAAAATTATGATGGTGCTGAGCTCCCCAAACCCACGGCAGATGATGTCAAATTATCCTTGTGCCAAAAGCGTAACACTGGGGGGAATATTATAGGGACTTGAATGGCCTAGGCTATGACAAGAAATTTGGGAAAATTGCATATGGTGTCAGGTAAAATCTTTCTCGAATTCAAATGGAACTTGGTGCATATTCAAACAGAGATCCAGGCATTCAGGACAGGTTCTTATTAGCAAGCAGCAAGGTGACTGTTAAGGGGTTTATGGCCTGTTGTCAGCCTGAATGACGGAAAGTTCTGCCACATTAATATGCAGATCCATGTTCCACCACTTGCTGTCAAGAACTGACGCAGGTGCCAACATTGGATCAGGCTGGGCATTGTCTGGTGTCGTAGCCTTCTCTGGTGGTCCTGAGGGAAGAGGAATACCATCCACCAGGACCTTCAGGTGCAAATTGTCTGCAAAGTGAGTTGTTCAATTTCCCATTCTCTGCTACATCCAGGATGTGTTAAGGACTGTGCAGAATAGCTCTGGACTGAAGTCCTGGTATATCCAGGCACTGTTGAGTTCTTCTGGAAATGGCAAGGGGTAGAATTGGGCTGGGATTAGACAAGGAGAGTGCCATAAGTGTGTGGTAAATTTTTAATGAGGTGAGTTTTGTAAAATAGCTTGAGGAAACTCATTCCATCTCACAAAAGGAATCTACAAGGAAATTCAACAAAGTAGACACTTTGCCAAAATGTGACAAGATTCAGCCCTTTGCCTCATTTGCATCATATAGCTTCATTTGTGTTTTACAAATTGCAAGTAAACACTGTTTTTCCTTCTTTAAATCAGGGTCCATTTTTACCCATTTTCAGTCTGCAATCCAAAATAAAAAGATGTGGTCTTGAAGTGCTTCCACTCTGAAAAAGAGATGAAACACCATTTCAAAAAATGTATTTCATCACACGTTTTGTGACCCATAAATAACAAAACATTCATTCATTCTCACTCATCTCTCACACAAGTTTGATACAAATGCTCATCACTTTTGTCTATTATTCTTAACCTGTTCCATTATTTCATTTTAATATTCTAGATAATCCATCTATTTTCACTGATTTGTTCACAGAATGTGAGCAAATCAGCCGAGGCCAGCAGTTATTGCTCATCCCTAATTGCCAGAAGGAAGTTAGGAGTCAACCACATTAATGTGGGTCTGGAGTCACATGTAGGCCAGACCTGGTGAGGATAGCAGTTTCCTTCCCTAAACGACACTTGTGAACCAGATGGATTTTTACAACAATCGACAATGGTTACATGGTTGGCATTAGGCCAGTTCTTATTAAGTTCAAATTTCACCATCTGTTACAATAGGATTCAACACAAGTCCCCAGTCTGGGGTTCAGAATGACTAACCCAGTGACATGACCACTGCCTTCCCCTAATATTTGTTTAATTAATTCACAGAATGTGAGCCTCACTGGCTAGGCCAGCATTTATTGACCATTCCAGAGGACAATTAAGAGTCAACCACATTGCTGTGGTTCCGGAGTTACATGTAGATCAGACCAGGTGGTCTGATGGCAAAGGATGGCAGTTTCCTTCTCTAAAGAGTATTAGAGAGCTAAATGGGGTTTTCATGATAATTGACATTGGTTTTATAGTTGCCTTAATTTCAGATTTTTATTGAATTCAAATTCCAACATCTGGCATGGCTGGATTCAAAGCCTGGTCCCCAGAATATTGCCTGGGCCCCTAGATTAATAATATAGCAATAATAACATTAGGTTGTCACCTCCCTGGTCGGCTATCACTTTATTGTTTCCAGCAACATAAATGATTTTGATATCATAGAGCTGAATTAACAAACTCGACCAGAGTAATCTTGCACATTGAGTCTTAAGTTTGCCTATGAAAGTTAAGAGATTCTGCTCAGTATATATCAATGTTTCTTTACAATCTTGAGGGACATAGACTTCAAAATGCTGAAGAGCCAATAATAATCCCAAGGTTTCTTTTTCCATAGTTGAGTACTTTTTCTTAATATTGGTTCAATATCTTAGAAAAGTAACACACTGGCTTCTCTACTCCTGATTCATCATCCTGTAAAAAGACTGCACCTCCCCTCAAGTCACTAGTATCATTTCCCATTTTGAAAGATTTATACAAGTCAGGGTTTGAAAGTCTAATGATGACCAAGATACCATTGTCAATTGTTTTAAAAACCTATCTGGATCACTAACATCCACTGGGGAAGGAAATCTGTCATCCTTCCCAGTCTAGCCTACATATAACTCCAGATCCACAATAATGTGGTTGATCCTGAACTGCTCTCTGAAATGGACTAGCAAACCACTCAGTCGCTTTAAAGCACAAAAAATGCCTCAAAGGAATTTACCATTGGACAGAAACTAAAGGCATATAAATGCTGTGGCTACAAGAGCATATCAGAGGCTGGGAATGCTGCAATGAATAGCTCACCTCCTGAATTCCCAGACCACGAGACACAAGTCAGGAGTGTGATGGAATATTCCACACTTGCCAGGATGAGCACATCTCCAACATCACTCAAGAGTTTTGACACCATCCAGGTCAAAGCAGCCCTCTTAATTGGCGCCATATCAACATACTTTTACTCCATCCACCACGCTCAGTAGCAACAGTATGCGCCATCTTCAAGATGCATGCCTGAAATTTATCAAAGATCCTTAGTCAGCACCTTCCAAACCCATGACCACTTCCAACTAGAAGGACAAGGAGAGCAGCTACATGGGAACATCACCACTGTAGTGATTGTAACAAGGTCAGCCAGCTAGACTGTGTAGAGTGAATTCCGTGATTGGCGCCATTAGTCTGGTCCAATCAGGGAGCTCTGGCTGACAAATTAAGAGGGTGAGTGTCAGAGATCCTGACAATCTGGGGCCTGACTCTGTATGAGATATTCCTATCGTCAAGGACTGTTCATGTGTAAATAAAGGGTGACTTGCTGATGGGATACGAGCCTCTGTGGAATTATTTTGACCACCTGCAAATTCCCCTTCAAGCCACTGTCACCTTGGTTCGGAAATACTGTATATCACCTTTCCTTCCGTGTCACTGGATCAAAACCCTGAAACTCCCTCCATAATGGCATTGTGTGCATCTCTACATTGATTGAACTGCAGCGGTTCAAGAAGACAGCTCACCACCACCTTCTAAGGGGTGCTAAATGCCAGTCGAGTCCACAATGCCCACATCTCTGAATGAATTTAATAGAAAACATGACAAATTATTAATTACTTAACTACTATTAAATTTAAGTTATATCCCTTTTACCCCAAATACATTCATACCCAGAAGACAGTTTGACACAAAGACTATGGGTGGGGGAAATATACCAGTCTGGTAACTATTCTGTATCATTAGACTAGACCACAAAAACAGAATGAGCTGTTCTCTCAAGCCTAATGACTCTTATCAATGATGACACAATATTGTCTGCAAAGTAATGGACAATCGTTACTTCACTGACAGATCATTGGTACCTGGGGTGGTGGCGTTGTCTTTCCTGTTCCTTTACGTTTTAGAATTCTTTCCTTCTGTTTCTGTGTATGTAGTTTTTCCTGTTGTTTTCAAAGAGTGGGAGAGAGCACTTGCCAAAAACAGGGACAGAGAGATGTTGTCGCAACCAGTTACTGGAGGTTCCTGGCTGCATTTCACTCACAGGTTCTGTGTTAAGCTGCAGCTAGACCAATCAGAAAGCTGTTACTATGCTGAGCTCCCATTAATGTCCTTCAGGGAAGGATATTTGCTGTCCTTACGTTGTCTGGCCAACATGTGACTCCACACCTTTAACTGCCCACTGAACAATGGGTGATTAATGCTGGTCTTACCACTGACCCTCACATCACATGAATGACATTTTTGAAAAATTGCTATTTCATCATCTTGGCTTTGAATGTCAACTGGACAAACAAAAAATCATGTTACATTGCTTCCTTACTGAATGGATTTCCAGTCTGTGACTTACAAATGTGTACCTATACGTTCTGACAGCTTCGTGATAAAACTGGTTACAATGTTAAACAATTCCTCATTATGCTTCATTGAATCACAACTGCCAAACTGTTCCACATCTCTGAGATCAGAGATGAATCATAACCTATATGTCACCACATACTGAGTGTGTGTGTGTGCATACACGTACATGCATTCGGAAGACAGTGGCGATGAGTTGTTTTAGCTGACACACGTGAGGTTCGACCACACAAAAACACGATTAGAATGGGTTAATTGTTGCAAAACACTCTGCTAAAGCCGCTAATTATATTTTGCTTGTGTTGAAATGGTTGGAGCAAGTAAAAACAGGATAATGGAAACATATTACACCAAAGCAAAACAAACAGCCACATCCACGTTCTTGTATTATTTGCATTAGTAACTTGAAAGTTTAAAAACAACCCACATCGACATTAGCACCAAGTTGTATTGTGATGCACCCTAATAATCTGTATGGTGACTTTAAACAATGCTACTTAATGCTACAATACTGCTGGATCCATTAGGCGTCACTTAATGTTTGTTTTTATTTTGCAATGTGCATTGGAACTCAGTGGTGTCACTCGTTTAACTGTTCAATGTGTAATTCCTAAATTGTAAAAAAAAGGAAAGGTTCCAGCTAAGCTGGATACCCTTGAAAAATCAAGACTCAATATATTTCATACTTTTTCTTTTGTGGAATGTGGGAGTCTCTGGCAAGGGTGCTATTTGTTGCCCATTCTTAACTGCCCTTGAACTGAATGACTTGTTTGTCCATTTCAGAGTGTACTTAAAAGTTAAACATTTTTTTTTCTTTATTCATTCACGGGATGACGGTGTCACTGGCTAGGAAGCATTTATTGCCCATCCCCAGTTGCCCAGAGGGCAGTTTAAAGTCAACCTGATTGATGTGGGTCTGGAGTCACATGTAGGCCAGACCAGGTAAAGATGGCAGTTTCCTTCCCTAAAGGACATTAGTGAACCAGATGAGTTTTTCCCTCTGACAACTGACAACTGACAACTGACAACCAACAATCGATTCACAGTCATCATTAGATTCTTAATTCCAGATATTTTATTGAATTCAAATTCTACCATCTGCCACTGTGGGATTCAAACCCAGGTCCCCAGGGCATTATCCAGGTTTCTGGATTAACAGTCCAATGATAATACCACTGGGCCATTTTCTCCCCGATACCATAGGCCATTGCCTCCCCAGATCCCCCGTTGTGGGTCTGGAGTCACATATAAGCCAGACTAGGTAAGGACAGCAGATTTCCTTCTCTAGAGGACATTAGTGAACCAGATAGGTTTTACAACAATCAATGATAGTTGTTATAATCACTGAGACTAGCTTTATGGCCTAGATTTATTAATCAAATTTAAATTCCTAACACTGCTATAATGGGATTTGAACCTACATCATCAGACCATTAGCGTATGCTTTTAAATTACAGATCCATTACCATTGTAGTACCATATCCCTGTAAGAGCATGAGCTGGGGGCGGAAGGGCCTTCATTTTCAGATTTTGCAAAGAAGTATTCAAGTGGTGGCATTTACATTGAATTAGCACTTCAAAACGTTAACCCCTGAGTGACCCTATTTTAATGCCTCAGGCATTGTATGAAACTGAGTGAAAGTTTTACAAGGAGCTATTATGCTTGGAGGTAGAGGGGGAATAAACAGGACCCTATTCTTTACCGATGGAAAGAAAACATGCATGTACTGCATCTATTTCGACTAAGCAACCATTCACTGGCTCATTTCTCAGGGCAATGCCCTGACCAATTAGAGTCAACCTGCCTGGTTTAGAATTTAAACAAAGCCTGGTGGTTAACTGTCAATCATCATTAACTGATGTATTCTCCATTATAACCAGAGGTTACTTGTCAGGCAATTACCGTATAAATAGCAGTTTTTCTGTTTAATTGATATTACTCATGAATTCGCCTGAAGAGCATGTTCTGTATGACCAACTGACAATAATTTTCAAATCTTCTTTTTCCACAGAAGCGGTGCCAGAGAAGTGAAGGGCAACTAATGAGTAACCATTATTCAAAAAAGGTGATAGGGATAAACCAGAGAACTGCAGGTCATTGAGACTAACATCTGTGCTAGAGAAACTATTTTTTAAAATCTGAAGGACAGACTTAATCTCTACTTTGAGAAACAAGTATTAATTAAGGATAATCAGCGTAGGCTTGTAAGGCCACGTAAGGGAAATCTTGTCTGACAAATTTGAATGAGTTTTCAAAAATCACAACAGAGTGTGTTGATGAGGGTGATACAGTTGATATAATCTACATGGACTTCAGGAAGACTTTTCACAAGGTTTCACACGGGAGATGGGTCAAGAAGGGCAGAACCCATGGGATCCAGGGCAATTTAACAAGTTGGATCCAAAATTGGCTTAGCGACAGAAAGCAGAGGGTGATTGTTGAAGGGTGTTTTTTTGTGACTGGAAGCCTATGTCCAGTGGTGTACTATATGGTTTAGTGCAGGGTCATTTGCTGTTTGTGGTGTACATTAATGGTTAAGACATATGTGTAGTGTGTAAGTTTGCAGATAACATGAAAATTGGTGGAGTGGTAAATTGTGAGGAGGAAGCCTTAGACTACAGGATGATATAGAAAGGCTGGTATGACAATAGCAAATGGAATTTAACCCTGAAAAGTGGTGAGGTGATGCATTTTTGGAGGTCTAATATGACAAAGGAGTATACATTGAATAGTGGGACCCTCGGAAGTACAGAGGATCAGAGGGACCTTGGTGTGCATGTGCATGGATTCTTGAAGGCAGCAGGACAGGTAGATATGGTAATCAAGAAGGCACAGGGGACACTTGTCTTTCTCATTCAGAGCATTGAATACAATAGCAAGGAGATCATATAACGTTATGTATATAACATTACCAAGGTTACAGCTGGAGTACTGTGTGCAGTTCTGGTCACCACACTACAGGGGGGATGTCATTGCACTAAAGAAGGTGCAAAAGAGATTCACAGAATGTTGCCTGGGCTGTAGTAATTCAGCCATGAAGAGAAATTAAATCAGGTGGGGTTGATTTCTTTAGAGCAGAGAAGGCCCAGGGACAAGTAACTGAGGTGGACAAAATTCTGAGGGGCATAGACAAGGTAGACAGGGAAATTATTTTCCCCTTAGCAAATGGGTCAATATCTCGAGGGCATAGTTTTAAGGTAAGGAGCTGGAGTTTAAAGGGGATTTGAGGAAAGATGTTTTTGCCCAGGGGGTGGTGCTGGGCATCTGGAACTGACTGCCTAAAAGTGTGGTAGAGGTAGGAATCCTATAACATTTAAGAAATATTTAGATGAATACTTGAAATGCTGTAGTATAACAGGCTGCAGGCCAAGAGCTGGGAAGTGGGATTAGAGTAGTCTTGGACTCAAAGAGTCATACAGCACACAATCAGGCCACTTGGTCCAACCAGTCCATGCTGAAAATAATCCCAAACTAAACTAGTCCCAACTGCCTGCTCCTGGCCCATATCCCTCCAAACCTTTCCTAATCATGTATCCATCCAAATGTCTTTTAAATGTTGTAACTGTACCCACATCCACCAGATGTTTGATGATCCACATGGGCACAGTGGGCTGAAGGTCCCCTTTCTGGGCTGTAAAACCTCTGTAACTCTGAAACGATTAGAATTCTAATTGTTGATGTAATGTGATTTATGCAATCAGACCCTAATTGCTGATTCACTCGTCACCAGACTATGAATGCAATACCTTCCTGATTATTAAATTAGTGTATCCTGAATCTTAAAGTAATAGGGCAGACTATTACCAATTTAATGGGAACCTGATTGTTAATGAAATAGATTTCTAAGTATTAATCCTCATCATTGATGCAATAGGAACCCAATTATTAATAAACTAGAATCATGATTTTTAATGTCTTATCTTAACTATTGATGCATGCTCCTGATTTTAAAGAAATAGGCTTTCTACAAAAAAACACCTGAACACCAACCATTCAAAAGGCTATTTATGCAAAATCAGTCAGGGTTCTGTGGTCAGACATTAAGGAAGGTGACATGTGGTGGTATCCCTAACTCTTGGCCAAAGAGATTCAAGCCCCAACTAACCTGAAGGTGTGTTCAAGCAGATTGCTGAGAGTGGGATGTAAACTGCATGCTGATACAGACTGCACCAATTAATCTCACCTCTCAATGACCCTTGAAGATCCTGGTGCTTGTGTCCCTAATATTTCAAGAACATGAGTTCAAATCCCACCATTGCAGAGAGTGAAATTTGAATTCAATTTCAAAGAAAACTAGAATTTAAAAACACTGCTAATGGAAACTGTTGATGGTTATAAAATCCATCTGCTTCACTTATCTTCTTCAGAGAAGGAAATCTGCCATTTGATCCAATCTGGCCTACATGTGGCTTCAGACCCACAGCGATGTGGTTGATTCTTACTAATCTCTGAACTGAGCAAGTTACTCAGTTCAATGGCAATTAGAAATGGGCAGTAAATGCTGACCCAGCCAGTGACTCCCACGTCCAAGGGATGAATGTTTAAAAAAAAGGCTACAACTGCCCTGACCCCAGTGAGGTTTGTACTCCACAGCCTGGGAAGTCTTGCTCTAGATGT